ATAATACTAGATATCAAATAAATTATCAATAAACAAACAGTATGTTGATGAATTGAAATTTCAAACATCAAAAAGTCCGAAAGTCAGAGTTCTCTGAATTTCTGATACCGCAATTCACAAGTTTAGTGATTTAGAAACTTAAGATTCCGGAAATTAAAATATCCAGATAGTTGAGAATCTGGAAAGCTGGAAATAAGAAAATTGAGATATTCAAAATGAAAAACATCTAGAAGTTCAGAGATTAAAGAAGTGAAACATTCAATTTTATTGGAAAACTCTTTAACGTCATTTTTCAAAAGACTGTTTCAAATCTTTGAATTTTTCTGTTATCGTGAATTCCTGATTTCCCAAAATTCTTGAGTTGAGTAAGAGTTCATACGCAAAGATTAAAAATCGAAATTTTAGTAAATAGACAAAACGAAAACTTTCAAACTTCAAACTAAATAGGTGAATATGGAAATTTGGGAGTTTTTTTTTGAGTTCTCACGTTTTTGCGGGCAATTTTCAGGAATTAAAAGAAAGTTTTCAGATATATCCCATTTTTCGAATTCCCCTCGCCAACTTTTTTTTTTGAATTATTTAAAACTTTCAACGGCGTTTTTCGTGGATTGGTTTTTGTGGATTTTTTATATCATATGGGGAGCCAATTGGATGCCGAATCCATTGAATTAAAGAAATCTATTAATGTTTGAGCGAATATTGATGAAATCGATCACCATTCCTTGACAATAGACGTTTTCGCTTCTCTGTGTTAAAGCTGCTAGGACCGTACACACAATTCATCGTGTGTATATGGTCCAAACCCGTTTTTTGAAGGTGTGCTTGGGATCATTGTCCTGTTGGAAAAGGCCCTACGATCCAACGCTTCATGCACATAATTCATCGTGTGTATATGGTGTGTATAGGGTCCAAGCTCGTTTTTTGAAGGTGTGCTTGGGATCATTGACCTGTTGGAAAATGGTTCTACGGTAGGATGCTGTGATTTTTGCAAATTTGAAAATCTTGAAATCTAGTGTTCCAACTCACTGAATTAAACTTCTCGGGACGGTTGTCTTGTTCATATCAAAAATATAGACCACCTTTGGACAATTATTGATTAAATCGATGGTCATTCCTCGACAGTAGACATTTCTCAGGACCTTCTCTGTGTCGACCAAGGTTTTGAATCCTCCTTCTGTCGCTTACAACCATATCACCTTGAATACTATTGAGATCGGATCAGTTACTCGCGATTCCATAACTTCCAATTTGGTACACACTGAAAAAAATTTATTTGGGAGCTCAAGCAAAATTTTGAAATTAGGAGCCAAAAGTCAGATCGAAAATTTCCAACGAAAAGTGAGAATTTTCCGTTTTTGCAATTTCGAACGCTTCTCCCCTATAAAATATAAGTTTGAGCTGGCTGTCCACTCATACAAAATATGAAATCAATAATTTGTTAAAGCCAAAATTCTGGAATTAAGCGCTAAAAATTCGCCAACTCACCAGTGAATTAAACCTCTCGGAACAGTTGTCGTTAAAGTGGATCTCCGGTATCTTTTCTATTAACAATCACCAAATTCTATGTGCCACTGTTGGTAATTGGCCGTACACACAGTTAATTGTGTGTGTACGGTCCAAGCACGTTTTTTGGATCGTTGTCGACCTTTCACAACTTTGCAAGTTTCAACGCTTTTCCAATAAAAAATACAGGTTTGAGGTGGCTGTCCACTCATACGACATTTGAAAAGAATAGTTTTTTGAAACCAATATTAATGAATTATCGCTTAAAAATCCGCCAACTCACCTGTGAATTAAACCTCTTGGAACAGTCGTCGTTCAAGCACAATAGAGGACTTCGAAAGTGATTCCGAGAACCTGCTGGGCCTGTATTAACGGACGTGTCATCGGTAATAACAATGAGACATGTGGTAAGATAAATACAATCTTTCTTTATGAGCCTTTCAAAGAGTCATTGGTATTCTACAGGGCCATGGAATGTCTTCACCTTGTGTATTTTCCTATTTTTATTTTTATGATAATTACCCGAAAAACTTTCTGACTTATGCTAATGAAAAAAACGAAAAAAAAACAAACTTCTAATCTTTTCAAACTTTTTTTAATTTTTAAAATAAACAGTTGTTCTTTCGAGTTGCGAAAACACAAAATCAATTTTTTTAAACTTGAACTCGAGGAGAAAATTTTTTTCCAAATTTTGCGATATGTACCATATTATTATTTGGGAGTTTTTGAAGTATTTTGAATTCCGAATTTCACAAATGTGTTTGAAAAACTTCGAATTATGATAATTTTGCTTCATTTGATAATCTTTTTCAACATTCACGATTTCTTTAAAGTTTAAAATGTTTTCAATATTTTTAAGCATTACTTAAACAGTTTTCAAGACAATCCTTAAATTAGAAAAATGCAAATATCCCGGAGTTTTTCGGATTTTCATACTTTGTTTTATATTTCTGATATGTCGTCAGTTGCATAATTCACACAGTAATTTAAGAAATAAGCTTGTAAAAATGAAAATAGAACAATGTACTATGTGAAGGCATTCCATTGTTCATAACTCTGTAGGATACGAAAAGCTCTTTGAAAGGCTCATTGGGTATTTTAATCATCGACGAGATTACTGGTTGAGTTAGATAGCTTTTCTGAATTCTGAAATTTATTCTGACGATAGGCTGAATACTTTTTTATTTAGATATACACAATGACACAATATTGATAAACAGTTGAAATGACACTGGCAAAGAATACAATCAAAGACAACTGCTAGAAAACATAACTCACAATCAGTTGTTCGGTATGTCGGAAAATTCTAAAAATTTTAGAATATACTAAACAAAACCAGAGCTCCAATTTTACTGGTTTGTACGAAAAGGTTGGCAACTAAACAGCTGAAGCTCTAGTTTTGTTAATTAATCCACAATTTCAGAAGTTTCCGAATAAATTACATCTAAATTTTCGAACTTGGAGAAATTAAAAAAATATAACTGCAAAGAAAATTACAGCAACATAGTTTTTTTGATTGAACGTTTCCTTCGAAAAACTTTCAGTTTTGTTGTTATTTGCCTATTTGAATCCTTTACCAGTTGTTATTTGTTTCCTTCATCTTCTGCACATCCATTTTCCAATATTGTTTGTTTCCTTTCTCCTCCAAACCCGTCACTGTTGTCATCTGTAAAAATGTATACCTTAAAGATCACGTGTCTACGTTCTGAATGTAAATAGAAATATCGAGTACATCAAAATTTTCATCAGTTGCATCAATGCAATTATGAAGCATTACCTATTTTCTACTGTGAACTATAAATTTAAAGAAATTCTCACCTTCGCTCGGCAAGTCACACATGCGCGCAAAAACACATGTATTCATCGTCTTCTGAGGTCATATTCGTCATCCTTGTTCGGGACCACACACTGAACAGTCTGTTTTGTTTATTGTTAGTAGAATCTGTTTCTTTTTCATATCATTTTGTAGTTAAAGGTAGTAATCTTATATTGAAGTATTCAATGGCTAAGAACGATTCATAAACCATGCAAAGGTCGTTGGACGCTTCTTGTATTGCCGAAGTAGTTGTCCTCTTTCAAATTCATTTTTGATCGCATCTTACTTCCTCGACAATGGTCCAAACGAAATCCCGCTGAAAGTGTGCGTTCTTTTTTGTTAGCTGACACGGGAAGCCTCCCAACTGTTACCCGGGGATTCGGATGAAACCTATGGTAAATAGTAGTACACAAGCTATCTAGAGAAATCTCAAAATTATAGCGACCCTCGTGAAGGCTATTCAAATAGGGAGACATTTTATGATTTTTCGGGAGCTTGGAGTCGGGACCCTTTGAAATTTTTTTTTCGATTTTCAAAAGTTACCTTTTGTGTTTCTAAACATTATACTGCTGATTGTTTTTATTTTAACTTAATTCAAGACGCAGAGAAATTTTTGAGACGCAGAGAAACGCAGAGAAATTTTTTGTATATCTCTCTGCGTCTCAAGGTTTACCTTCTCGTAAAGCGATAATATAATTTTGAGATTTTTCTAGATAGCTTGTGTGCTACTATTTACAATAGGTTTTATCCGAATTCCCGGGTANCAGNNNGANGGTTTCCCGTGTGAGTATGCTTTTTTTTCGTAACATTTGGTGGTTAACGTCATGAATATTCTTATGTTAAACTAGTCGATGGTTAAGAAGGCATTGAAACACCATAAAGTTGATGATCTGTGAAACACAATCCTCAAAGTTACATCATCTGTTCTGCATGTTAATATTAGAAACATCGAATATCTGCAAACTATACAATTAGGTATATGATAACACTGATTCTCGTAACTAATTTTTCACAACAAGCTATATATGAAACGTATATTTTATCTTCGCTTCGATAAGCAAATGAGCAAATTCACACTTGCGCTTTCGAAGTCATCGTCATCTTTTAGTTCCATCTTACATCGTCCAGAAAATTTGAACGTCTACCATGAATATGAACAACGTCTACCATGAATATGAACAACACACATCACCATCAGCCATTTTCGTGATTGGGTTATATCAACTTCTGTTTGTATAACCACAACCGAAGTGGCTGAAAGGAACTTTCCAAATTTTTGGTAAAAAAATCCCGTTTTTTACTGAGTCATTTTTGTAGCGTTGCAAAATATACCGGAATCAATAATAATAATATGATTTGAGGCGGGAAGCAGGGCAGCTCACTCTGTTGAGCAACAAGTGAGAAATGAAAAGAGCAGATGTTTCGAATTGTGAAAAGTTTGGAAGAGTGGTCGAATACACATCACTTTTGTTTCAAACGACGTAAGACGTAATGAAACGTTTTGAGAATGAAAAAAAATCAATTAATAGCTGTTTTCAATTAACAACGATTTCAATTGTCCTGACTTTTGAAAAAAAAAACTCCTTCAAACAGCTCGAGCAAATGAAACTATTTATATGACGTGATTAAAATACAATTTACAAAAAATGCAATATAATTGAAATAAAATCACAATTACGATTCAAGTGATATCGTGGAAATACATTTGACAGCATACTTGAACATCATCGGCAGTGATTGAATGTGTGTGGCAATGCTTCATGGGAGATACGTTCACTGGAGCACTGAAACCAAAATATTTGCTACATTTACTTTAAAAATTCAATCTTGTTTTTATTATGTATGAGCTGGATATGTTTCGAACACGACGATGTCCCTTAATGATGTTTGAACTGATCAGAAAATCTTTCAGGCTAACGTCAGCAGCACTGGGAACATTAGCCCTCAGATTTTATGAAACAGAGTTTGACCAAAAATTCAATATTCCGGTTTCATGGATTCCAGCACTTTTTCAAACAAACTCACATTGATTCTCAGTCTGCTCGGAAGTCGTTGCCTCTGTTTCCTCATGATCGGCAGAAGAATTGAGCTCCTCACAGCGGATGTATCCGGCGATGATGAAGAAGAAACGCATGTAGATGAATCGGTGTCCGACGGTTCCTCTTGTGAATCAACGTACCATTCCTCGGCTGGATCATAGTCGAGAGTTGAATCAAAACTCTCTTGTGATGACTCTTCAGCATATTGTCGTGTTGGAACCCAGTCGGCGGCAAGAGATCTCTCGTAGAGAGAATGCGCAAAGGATGGTCCCACTGGCTTTGGCGGCTCATCCGTGAAGCTATCCCTAGACCCGGGCTCAGGTGGCGTTTTCTTTGGAGTGCGGATAACCTTGTTACCGAAGATCTTCTCCATATTACCTGAAAAAACAAATTACCTGTTTACATGCAGAGAAAATCGATAAAAAATAACGCAATAATCAAACAATTTTAAACAATCCCGGTTAACGATAATTCTTTTTTCATTATACGGTTTGCGAGAAACACTGATTTTAAAAAAATTGAAAAAATGTTGATTGAAAAAAAGGCAAAGAAAAAATACCCCAGAACGAGAGAAATGACGAACAAAGATGAACTGAGGACCGTCAAGGTATTGGATACGTGCATCACTCGTAGGAAAGGGGGGGGGGGGAAAGGGCGCGCGCGCGCATTTGAAGAAATAATTTTTTTGATCTACTCGTTAGACTTTCCATTTATTTCTCGAAAATTTTTTGTGAAAACAATTATCGTCAACGGGATATTTAAATAGACTGTTTTTTGCGTTCATTTTTACTGATTGCTTTGTATATTTATCTCATTTTTAATAATAATAATAATAACTTATTGATTCAGGACTATCAGTCACTTTTAAAATCAATATGTTACAAATTAAACAAATGAGTTAGAAATTATGTTCGTCTAGGAACAGGAAAGAAGATAAATTTACATGACTTAAATTAGTTTTAAAAGAGATGGATGAAATCAAGGGTGGGAACACGGTTTTTGGAAGCGAGTTCCAGCAGGATATAATACGGAGAGTAAGAAATTGAGCAGAAAGTTTTCGAGCATTTTTAATGAACAGCCAATGTAATATGGGTTGCGTCTTAGATGATTATGATAAAACGGGACAATGAATAGATTATGGGCAATTGCAATTCCCCGGGACAATTTTTGAAAAGAAAATTCTACGATTTCAAAAACAAAAATGGAAACATTTTTGAGACGAGAATTTTGAGTTTTACATCAAATTTAATATTTTTTGACTATATTTCACAAATTTCGAGCAAAAAACTAAAGTCCTAAACGCTGCAATCAAATTATCTGAAGGGCACATTTTCAACAACTTTATTCTCGTTTGAATTTATTATCCGCGTCTGTATTTTTACGGTATTTCAAAAAACCCAGGTTTGAAACTACGAGGTAATTAATCTTTTGAACGTTGTTTTTCTACGGTTTTAATGACGTTCCGCGATTGTTAAGACCTCAGTTTTGTTGATTTTGTTTTGGTTCCTTAGCTTTTCAATGGTTTTTGCCTCCTGCGTCCCTTATCACTTTCTATGTCATGTTACAAGTAAATGTGACGCCAAAATTAGTTGAGGGAACGTCTTCATTTCTCGAAACCTTCCTCGAACAAGCGTTGTGTGTTCCTTTTGTTGTTCTAACACTGCTCTTTTTGATTGTCCATTAATTAGCTGCCTGCAGAGAAATCCAACTTGGAGCTAGCTGAACGAAAAGCTAATACGGAGGAGCGTCCAACGGCTATACATGGTTTGTGAATCGTTCATCTTTGCTTTATTGTTTTCTTAGCCATTGAGTAGCTTAACATAAAAGTTTCAAAAATACAGACGCGGATAATAAATTCAAACGAGAATAAAGTTGTTGAAAATGTGCCCTTCAGATAATTTGATTGCAGCGTTTAGGACTTTAGTTTTTTGCTCGAAATTTGTGAAATATAGTCAAAAAATATTAAATTTGATGTAAAACTCAAAATTCTCGTCTCAAAAATGTTTCCATTTTTGTTTTTGAAATCGTAGAATTTTCTTTTCAAAAATTGTCCCGGGGAATTGCAATTGCCCATAATCTATTCATTGCCCGTTTTATCATAATCATCTAAGACGCAACCCATATTACATTGGCTGTTCATTAAAAATGCTCGAAAACTTTCTGCTCAATTTCTTACTCTCCGTATTATATCCTGCTGGAACTCGCTTCCAAAAACCGTGTTCCCACCCTTGATTTCATCCATCTCTTTTAAAACTAATTTAAGTCATGTAAATTTATCTTCTTTCCTGTTCCTAGACGAACATAATTTCTAACTCATTTGTTTAATTTGTAACATATTGATTTTATAAGTGACTGATAGTCCTGAATCAATAAGTTATTATTATTATTATTAAAAATGAGATAAATATGCAAAGCAATCAGTAAAAATGAACGCAAAAAACAGTCTATTTAAATATCCCGTTGACGATAATTGTTTTCACAAAAAATTTTCGAGAAATAAATGGAAAGTCTAACGAGTAGATCAAAAAAATTATTTCTTCAAATGCGCGCGCGCGCCCTTTCCCACCCCCCAATAGCTGTTTATGTGACTGTCACAAAAAAATCAATCCGCCTAAATTCATATTTGAAAAATCAGGAACGGACCGCATTTTTCCAAAACTTTTCGCAAACTTAGAAATTTTGAAAATTGTTTTGCGAAAGAAACATTGTTCAATTACATTTCGTTTTTCGCGAGCTCATTACTAGAAAACAAAATTCGGTTTACTTTTTTTTCAAACTGACCCCGAATTTTTTTCGAAAACACTATTAAATTATTGAAAACTGGGGTGAAACGGTCCGACCCGTTGCAGCTCGGTGAATGTTTGAAAACTATTTCGACTTTCATATTTTTTAAGTGAAAA